ATGGCCACCGAATCCTAGTGCCTAGGCTGCCTAGTGCCTAGGCTGCCTAGTGCCCATCACTGAGGCTCCGGGAAGTCTTCAAAATGGTAATCACCTTGCGATTCCTAAGCCTACGCTCATGGGTCCCGCCATAGACGTTGCTCCGGCAGAAACTGATGGCCAGCTCCTTGTAGCTGGTCTTCAAATACCTGATGCGGCTTTGGCGAGGCCACAAAGCAACGGCTACTATGTTGCAAACAAACCCATGCCCATCATCAGGCTGCCCATCACATCCCTGTTTGTCACATTTGGCTTTTCCTCCTACCCTCTGACAACTGACTGGCAAACACCGCATCTGCAATTCAAGGAGTCAGGGAGTCTCAGAGTCTCGTCTTCCCGCTGCACTTCCCACAAAGTTTAAAGTCTTCCTCACGCAAACGCAACCCAAGCCGGCAGGCAGCCGCAGCCAAGCTGCGAAGACTTCAACGGCTTCGGCTTCGGCAGGGGCTTCTGCCTTTCCCGGCGACCACGTCCAAGCGCTACTGGCGGCCGCACCGGCCCCATCGGCACTCCAACGGCGACACCATAGCCAGGGTCGTCACTGCCAGCATGAGCAGCGTGCAGGGCTGGGACGGCCAACCTACGTCAAGTCAGTGTCATCGTAAAATCGTGGTGTGAAAACTGGCGGTGACGGTGACGGTGACAGTGACGGACGGTGCAAAAAGGTGGGCATGCGGCATGTGGCATGTGACATGTGCCATGCTGAGTGCTGAGCTGTATTCAACGGTTCCACGGTCCACGGGCCACGGGCAAACATGTTTTCAGATATCATAAAATTGACTAAGACTACGCCAAGATACGGTGGAGTCGGAGCCAGCCGAGCCATCGCAGCCACTCTGGAACTGCCGCCTCCGTCTGCCGCAGCCGCATGGCCGCCATCTTCTGAATACCTGGGTGGGTCAACATGGGTTGGATTAGGATTCAGGATTGGTGATTGTATTGGATTGGATTAGAATGTTGAATCGAAAATTGTCTTCCGCCCAAAACTGGGGCTGAGGCTTAGTGCTGCTTAGGGCTTAGTAGTCTATCTTAGTTCAGTTAGATCATCTTGCTTGCTTGCTTGCTTAACCAATTTGGTTTATCGCAGTCGTCGTAACGCAGTATTGGATGACCACAATCATGGCGGCATGATGATCCGCATGATCATGTTGTGGTTATGATAATTGTAAATTGTAAAGTATAAAATTGAATTTGATGAATGCCCTGACGCCTGCCATGCCCATGCCTCGGCTCAACCCACTCCTACGTCTGCATAAGCCACACACGGCATGCCCGATGCCCTGCCAAGATACGCCGGCAGCGCCGGCACCGCCGGCGCCGATCCATCGCTCTCGCGCTCCCTTGCAGCAAAAGCATGAGCAGCAGCAGCAGCAGCAGCATGATCATGATGACCCGGCCGCGCATACCTGGGTCGGTGGGATAGCGAAGGAAAGCAGGGAATGACCGGGACCGGTGCCCCGGGGCAGGGACGTGTACCAAACCAAAACCGCCAAAGTCTCAAAGCAAGTAAATAAATAAGGATAAGTAAAAAGTAAAATGGGCAAGCGGCAAGCTTGTAGCTTGTCATGTCTGACTTAACCGCCATGCTGCATCGGCTCGGAGAACCCGTCGAAGAACCGCCGGTAGAACTCCCGCTCAGCAGCAGTGGAAAACAAACCGCCGCCGCCGCTCGCCATTGATGATTCGTCCCGGCGCGACACGGGCGAATCTTCGAAACCTAAAAACCCCTGACAGTCGGCGGACATGCGGCATGCGTGTCCTTTCCTAACCCGCGGATGCCCAAAGGAATTGGAAACAAATGGGTTCCGGATTCCGTCCTGGACCTGACCTTACCATGCTTGCTTTTCAATTTTCAATGTTCAATGTTCAGTTCAATCCCAAAAATCTAATCACGACCCAACTCAAGTGTCAACACTGTCAACTGTCAACACTGTCAACTGTTATTTGCCAATTGCCAATACCCGATACCCGGTGCCGGTACCGCCGGAATGGGTAAGTAAGTAAGGTCCGGTAGGGTAGGGTAGCCAGCCACCCAAAGAACTTCAAAACAAAGCCATACGCCATACGCTGGAGTCGAGCCTGACGACGGAGATTGAAAACAATCTAACTAAGTCTTACAGTCTGAGTCTGAGACTGAGTCTTAGTCTTTTTCTTAGTGTGCTTTAACCAGCCAAGTCGAGTCACAGTCTGACTGAAACAACGGACGGATTTGGGCATTTCAATTCCAGAAGTCACAAACCAAAGTTGGCTAATTTCCGTTGCCCACCTTCTCCGCTGCAACGGTCACCCCTAGTGTTTTGCAATGGACGCCAATCAGGCTTTAAACAGGCCACACACCTCGACTCACAAAGAATCATAGTAACACCACAACAGGGCCCACAGACCGGTCGACGCCCGACGACCGAGGTTTTTTTCCTTGGACCTGCATTGGGTTCGAGTTGTGCAGGCCCGGCCGGCCCGGCTCCAGATCATCGCACTGTCCTCGGCTGACACACAAACACACACACACACACCCGCAGCCGCCGCGCTGCGACTGTAGTTACTGTAGTTGTTGAAAATGATGATGATGGCAAAGTGATGGTAAACCAAAAAAGAAAAGGCACCTCCTGAGCCTCAGACTCAGACTCAGACTCAAGAGACTCAGACTCTGACTCGAGACTCAAACTCTGACTCAGACAGACTCAGACTCGGTAAATCAAACGTTCATTCATTGATAGTATTCGGGCCTGAGACTCAATACTCAATACTCAATACTGGAAATTATGTAAAACCAATGAAACTAATCCGAGCTGCGCGAATCAGCGTCGCACCGCCCGTCCTTTGCCCGGGCGGGCATTGTGCGGGCCCTTGCCCTTCGCCTTTGCCTTCGCCTTTCCCTTCGCCTTGCCCTTCTCCTTGCCCTTCTCCTGCCCCTTCTCATTGCCCTTCTCCTGCTCCTGCCCCTTCTCCTGGCCCTTCACGTGGCCTTTCTCCTCATTCTGCCGGCCCGCGCGCTCGCGCTCGAGCAGGTCAGACACGATCCGCAGCTGGAACTCCGCGTACGCGATGCGCAACCTCACTTGCCCAAATGAGCCGTGAGCCAACTTGAACTTGATCCTGAAATGAAACACCTTTGAGAATTGACACTGGGACCTTGGCCCTTGGCTACACAGAACAAAACCACTGTCTGCGTCTGCTTGGAGTCTACTGCCAGCACTACCGCCAAAATACAAGAGCGCGAAAACCCGAAACCCAAATTAACCCAAAGGTCAGGTCAAAAGTCAAAAGGTTGGCTTGACAAGGTGAGCGTCCTCAAATCGTCCAACGCATCGTGCATTTGCTCGAACCGCTCAAAAAAGATCCGGTTGATGGCGGCAGATGTCGCGGACGCAAGATCCATGGTCGATCCAAACAAACCCGCTGCTGTCACTTGCTGCTACATTCACATTCTTCACATTTAGGTAATTTAGACATTTAGCCATTTAGCCTCATCCAACTTGACCTCAAGTATGCGGGTGCATGATGCTGGTGCATGTGTGTTATCTGTTCCTTGCCTTGCTTAGCTGCTTAGCTTGAGCCTTTGCAGTGTTTCATGTCGTCCATAGACGCGGCATGTTCCCGTCAATCAAGAGCCTGTGCCCCCGTCAATCAAGAAAGCCACGCCGCCCTGGGGTTCCAAAGGCGGTTTATTGTGCGTGTCATCACATCTGTGAAAAGTGAAAGGTGTTTTTTGCCAAAGGAGTAGTTAAAAAGCACACCTCCGCCGAGCCTCCGCCGGCCTCCGCCTCCGCCCTTCCCCGCCCCAGCCCGGATGCCCTCTATAACCGGTCCTGCACAGCAGCCAGCCGCCGCTGCGCTCGCAATCCGAATGGCTGCACAGAGTCCGGAATTAATGCCTTGTGGGACCATTGTGGGACTATGTTACTGCGGGCATGTTGCCTGTGTTTGGCATGATGGGCATGATGACAGAATTTCCATCGGAGCCAAAACAGCAATAAGTGTTTTTTCCATGCCCCCAAGCCCAAGCAACATGGAACATGGCTCGAAGCGGACGACAAAAACACTTATTTTAGACTAATTCCAGCGAACATGCGAAAACCCCCCGTTAAGCAAGTTAACACAAACAAACAAACAAACAAACAACAAACCAACAAACAAACAAACAAACAAACAAACAAACAAACACACAAACAAACAAACAAACAAACAAACAAACAAACAAACAAACAAACAAACAAACAAACAAACAAACAAACAAACACACAAACAAACACACAAACAAACAAACACACAAACAAACACACAAACAAACAAACACACACACACAAACAAACAAACAAACAAACAAACAAACAAATCAACAAACCATCAAACAAACAAACAAACAAACAAACAAACAAACAAACAAACAAACAAACAAACAAAAACACAAACAAACACACAAACAAACACACACACACACACACACACAAACAACCAACCAACCAACCAAACAAACAAACAAACACACACACACACACAAACAACCAACCAACCAACCAACCAACCAAACAAACAAACAAACAAACAACAAAAAACAAACAACACAAACAACACAAAACAAAACACACAAACACACATGTTGCAAACAGCAACACACATGTTGCAAACAAGCACCCAGAATTGCATGCCCGGTAGCAAGCAAGGCCGAAGAAAATGGTGGCCAAGGTCAGCACAAGGGACCCAAAAACCTGCATGGTGGCGTGCTCCGATGAGCCGCACATGACCTTGCGACAGAGCTTCGGATGTTTTATTCTTGGGTTTCCCGTCAAAAGTTGAGAGGCTTAAGATTCCTGGTGGGTGAAACTCTGGCAAAATTTGGGGAACCAACAGGTCCCTATTCAGTGGCAGTGTTGATTCCCAACATATTGCCAAGTAAACTCAAGCAAACCCTTTTAAGCAAGCACAAAATCCATGGCTGTCTTCGTCATCTTGTCACTTGCTCACAGGGCCTCGGTGTACTTGAGCACGCTCTCTGCGCCGTTGGGGTGGGCATAGCCTCAATCGCCACCCCTTTTGAGGTGCCCCGAAAAGGAAAATGACCTACGAGATCCTGGTTCAGCCGGCCACAATGAATACAAGGGCCCTTTTCCAAAACGTGGGCTGGGTGAATTTCCCTTTTGGACTTTCGTATTGCCGGTATCCATGACGGTTGGTCAAATCATCTGGGTTGAAATCCGAATCCAAACCACCAATCCAAACTCATTCGGGTTCTTCTGACGTTCCAGGGGTTGATTGCTTTTCCATTCTTTTCAACCATCGTTCTTTCCAACCGGCCGCTTTCCCTGGGTTTCCGGAGGTGTTCTAGAAAGATTCGGATCCCTGGAAAGAATGGAAATGGAAGGTACCCCTGGAAACGTGTATATATATATAGTATGTATATAAACACCTTTTTGCGACTTTGGAGGTGGCAAGTGGCACATGAAGGGCACCAAGGCCACGTTGGTCATGGTGGTGAAGCTCACCTGGAGGAACTGGCCCAACGTACTGATGGTCTTCATCTTCTCCCATGCCAGCCGTCGCCGCCTGAGAAATTCGCGAAATTCAGCCCTTCCTCCACTCCCCCATGCTCAAGAACCCTGAGTGGCCTGAGTGGCCAAGAACAGGCTAAACTTGTTCTCAGTTGTTCAGTGACCCGGGCAAAAACAGGGAACCCTTTTTGGGGAAGGCCATTCTTAGTGGGGCAGCCACCCCCCCCAAAAAAGGGGGGAACAAGGGTGCCACTGAGCAACTGAGTGTTTACGTCCACACCCAAGTGGTAAAGAAGCCCATGAACTCGAGCGAGCAAATAGGAATTTACAGGACTCCAATGTCCCGTGGCTTGGGGCCACGTGGTAAGAAAGAAGAGCTGCCCTACAAATTCAAGCTTACCCCAAAAAGGGAAGCCCAAGAAGGGACACCCCGTGAAGACCCTAGCTTTTCGGGCTTCACGTTAATACGAGGGTACCCCCCCTAATGGGAACCCATTTCTGGAGGTGAGCCTTCACTTGTTGACACGCCTCATAATCTACCAGGCTGATTAATCCGGGATCGAGCACTGAATCTGTGTGAAGGAGCATGGAGACCTGCATGGATTCATCGAGAGTGTTAATGGTTTGACTCCAGGCCCCAGGATGTTCTTCTCGGTTAACCCTGAGCTTAGGGGCACTACCCAATTTTTGACTGAAATGCCTGGGTCAAAATAGGCGCGGAATAAGGAGGTCCGGACATGAAAACAGACCCACCGTGTCCTTTGAGAAATAAAGAACATGGAGGCAGCGCAAACTGGCCTTCCTTGTCGCCTATGGTGGAAACAACCGACCCCTTTCAGTGATACCCATACCCTGGATGAATAAACCCATCCTGCAATAGCGGAATGTTCCCCTCCCAAAAGTGATGGTTCCCCACTAAACCCAAAAGACCCCCCTCCCCCCAAATTCAATACACTGTGCTTGATTCATCTGGGGTCAACACTTCCATGACTTCCGGGATTCTCACCGGACCTGGCGTCACCTCCACCCAGGCCGCAACGCCGAGCGCGTCGTCCGTACGATGGCCTGCAGAAAGGGATGCAGTTCGTGAGCGCGCCCAGCGAGGGCAAGGTGCCCGCCACGAGCCAAAAGAACATGGCGCTGCCCACGTAGCGGGAGCCGTTGTCGGAGCTCAGGCAGCTCAAGCCTGGACGAAGCCGGAGCTGGACACTTCCCACATGGCGCCAAGGGGCTGCGGTCCGGGCCCGAACGTCCAGAGAGTAGACGCACTTTCTTCCATTGCCAGAAAGGGGGCACCAAACAAGAACCACGAGAAAGCAACCATGTTGGCTTGTCTGCGCTTGCTGAATTAGGCAAATGGCTGTCCGGCAGCCAAAGGAAGGAGGGCTCTGTTGAGCGAGAGAGGGAGGAGAGGGGAGCAATAAACTCGAGACTGCCCCCCCCCGACACAGACACACACACACACCAACGCCATAGCGAAGGAGACTGTTTGGACCAAAATGTGACATGAACTCCTCCCTCCGTATATCACTTCTTAACAGGAATATATGGATGGGAAAGCGGCATGCCATGGTACGTCTGCATTGCCTCAGCTTGGGCCTACAAGTCACACTCAGCTTTTTCCAGGACTGGAAGTGGGACAAGAGGGTGACTTCCGTATCCATTTCCCCGGGGCGGCGGTTTTTTTTCTCACCTGCCCAAAGGACCCATCAAGAAAGGGTTCACCTTTTGGGACCCCTACTAAAAAAGCAAAAAACAAAAGAAACTAAAAGGTCATTTGGGACCCCTACTAAAAATAGGCCAAACAAAGAAAACCAAAAGGTCAAGAGGTCGATTCGCTTTGAACCACTGAGTTTTTTTCGGTTTCTGTCCCAGGCGCCCAAGGAGTCCAAGTCCAAGGTGAAGAAGGACGCGAAGCTCAGCAGGTCACGCAGCCCAACAGGCCAAGCCTCAGGCCAGGTCATTCGCTGAGACCTGGAAAAACGAAGAACAAACATGGGATGCCCTGGTTAGACATGGGGAACACATGGACGCAAAAATGGATGCCCTGGATAGACATAGGGAACACATGGACGCAACAATGGATTCCAAGGTAAAATGATCAGAACCAACCCGGACCTGAATCAATCCAGTACCAAAATGAACAAAAGGGCACCTATGGTTGCAATCAGTCACGTGGAAGGGTGGACGGGGCCAATTCTTGGGTGGTGTTAAGAGGCAACTTCCGCTTTTGCCCCGTTTCCTTGTGGCAAACAAAGCTACCCATCAACCCAAAAGGGAGTTTGCAAAGAGTGGAAAACGGGGACAGCTTCTTTCGGGGCAAAGACCACTTATCTTGGCCAAACTAGACTCCCTGCCAGAAAAAAAATGAATACGTTCGGCAGGCTCAAAGGGAAAGTGGAGAACACCTCACAGTACACAATTGCAAACATGTTTGTTGAGCCATGTGTTACAGTCTAGTTCTCCAAACTATAATGTTGTTTTTTTCCGGGTGGGACACCATGATACACCTTTGTCCCGCAATTCTCTTTGCCAGAAATTGGGAATGGGCCGCCGAGACACCAATCCGAATTTTGCAAAGAGGCTAGGTGGCACACACGACAACCTGTAAATTGCAGGTCAGCCTTTTCCGGGTGATCAAAAACAAGCAATAGCTGAATGAGAGATTGGGCCATGTCTTTGCCGACGCAAAAACATCCTGCGCGATTTATTTTGAAAGCTGCGTTGCTTGTCATATCGGTTGTCTGAATAGATCAAATGGTTCAACAACAAGATCTTCGTATCTAAATATAGTATAAGGGTACCCTTCTTTCTGTAGTCTATTTTAGTAGGGGAACCCTCCCCCAACAAGGGGTAAAAGGGCACTACTGGGGGACGTACTATAGGTCTTCCTGTGGAAGTCCAGACCCGCCCTCCCCCCTCGGGGATGGCATTTTGACTGCAACTCGAAGCCGCCAAGGCTCGATCGACACCGTGCTCAGCACCCCAAGGTTCTGGAACAAGCCGAGCCTTGCTCAAAGGCGTACGAAAGCTGACAAATTGTAGGGAAACTTTTCTGCTCCCCTGCTAAAAAACAACTTTTAGTGATTTGGTGAAAAAAAAAACATTAGCTAACAAAAAGTTAAAGTCCTAACATCCAAGCAAAATGCAACAAAGAAAAGCAGGGACACTCATCAACCTGTTGGGCGGCCATACGGAGGGAAGCTACCCTGGTTCAAGAAACGTAGGCGCAGCAGGCGATAGGGTCCGGAAGATACGTGGGTTCAATACCCAGGCTTTGAACAGCAACTTCCCAAATTTAACAGCAACGCGACCCCAAATTTGGCAGTACCGATTTGCAATTCGGCAATAGTCTTCAAGTTCAAGAACTTAATGGTGCGTTTCAAATGCGACCTGCGCAGATTTCTCCGAGCAGCATCATGCCCAAGCTGGCGGTCGTACAGGCCAGCACGCTGGCCTGAAAAATCGCGTCTGCAACCCTAGTGGTACACCAATAACTAGGAATGACAACCGCCTAAGGAATGATCGATCTGGAGCCGTGGCCACGCCCGGTCTTCTTGTTGCTGCTAGCCAGGGTATGGTGTTTTGTTTTTCTCTCTCTCTCTCTCTCTATCTCCCCCTCTCGCTGCACCATCCCGAAGGTCCGGCTACTCAAAAGCAGCCAACAACCAGGGTATGCTTGCTGAAACAAATATTTGCCCAACGGCCTTGGCGGTGTAGGAGGAGGTGAGCAGGTAGTAGGAGCTCATCAGACCCACCATGAGAGTCAGCAAGGCTAAGGCCCAAGCCAATCCTCGGCTGATCTTTGGGCGTGACGTTTTCCGGTGTACCCTTTTTTTGGTTGTAAAGGGATGCCACCAGGAACACCACATTGTTCCCCAAAAAAACAAATGCTATAGGGGTTCTAACTTCTAATCAAGAAGGGACAACTATTGCAAGATTATTGGCTGGGTGCTAGGGGGTGAGCAGTTTGCGGTGCTGATGTCGGCGCTGTTTGGGGTGCTGTTTGAGCTGCTGGTAATGGTGCAGGCACTTTTTGTGAACATTGGCGGCCGGGTGGGGTTGGTGGTTTTAGGGATACAAAAAGGAAGACCGCATTTTTCGGCTTGGATCGTCTTGAGGGTTTGACCCCCCTCTCCACTTAGCTGGTTTTCCTAGCTTCCGGGTATGAAGGGCAACGGGTGTGGTCCGTCAATGCCCTTTGTCGAGTCTTCCCAACAAATGTGCAAACACCTCGAATGGTGTTCCCCCCCCCCCACCCGCAAATGTCCTTTTGAAGGGCGGGTTCTGTGCCAAGGAATTCGGGGGTCCGCAACCTCCAACCAAAATGGAGTGCGGCTTGCCTCCAATGTATGTCTCCGTTTGGGAAATAGATGGCGCCGGGAAATGAGTGGAACCAGCCTGCAACCAGTCCCATCACTTTTTTAACCAAGACTTAAGGCCACCCATGCCAACCCTTCTATTTGCTTTTTACCCCTGGCAAAAATGAGGACATGTGTCCAGTGGCAAAGGGAAAATTCATCATATTCAGAAACCGCACATGAAAGAAAAACAAACTCACGGGGAGTGGACAGACAAAGTCCTGGAACTGCTTGTTTTCCACTGACATGGGTCATACCAAAAAGTTTAAAGAGAGTGAGTCCTCAGTGAGTTGATTCCCCCGCCAAGAGCGCTCTCTGCACTTCGAGAGTCCCATGGACCCACACTCCGTACAGCCCTGGGAGGTCCAGAACTGAGCCTCTGGGCAGTCCCCGCAGGTCACGCCCTCAGGGCAAGTCGCAAAGGCCATTGGGAATCAGACACGCACCTTTTACTCACTAGGAAATCATTGCTGAAAAACACCTGCGACTTGAAACTGTTGCAAGTCGATTCAATTGCAACTGCAGATTTCCAGTGTGGAAAAACATGAAGCATACATGTATACAAGGTGCTTCAATACTTTTGGGGGCCACTGAACATGGACCCAGATGGGAAAGGGAGCATATATAATATGTCAGGTTAGACTCATGTTGGATTAGGTGCATGGGGTGATTTGGGCGAATTGGAGATACGACTTTGCAAAATATGTACGAGGGCGAGAGAGAGAGAGAGAGAGAGAGAGAGAGGGAGGCGAAAACACAAAGCAGGAGCAGGGAAACACACCAATACAACCTGCCTGTATGAGTTGGCAATGCATTTTAGATGTCACCGTGCCGCCTTCAAAAGAGAACCCGATGCTAAAATGTCTCGCTTGAGTTGACTCCAAACCTTTTCGTTTTCCACTAAAATGACCTGCCCAGAAAGTTTGGTCCATGAACTCAGGGAGAAAGACTGCCAAACATGGTCAGCGACTCCGCGAGAAAAAGCGCTTGCCATTTTGGGAGTTTGAGTGTGAGGACCGCACCATGCAAAGATTGACTGAGCCAAACTGAACGAATACATCCAGAAACTCGGACAGTAGAAGAGAGATTTGCTCAACGGTTATAGGGTCCAACCATTTGGAATCTTGTCTGTGATGGCCGTCTAAAAACAAATGATGGGTCCCCAAGCAAAGGGTGTGTTCGATCATTGGGATCGTGTTGGTTTGATGGCGCCCTTAAGCAAGAGGTCTGCCCTATAATTACGGGTGTGTCTTTTTAGGGGACCCCCAGGATGGTGGTCTTCCTCTTGGTTTCCCTTTCAAGCCACGAAAAGCGTACCCTCAACAAAAAGAGCCATTTTGGCAGCTTCCCACTGATTGGGTGTTTTGGAGTGGTTGGGGGGTGGTTTCTACGAAATTCAGGGTTGATAGGGGTTGCCTGAAGTTGGAGACATATTCATTGTTCCTTTGGACCCTGCCTGCAAGCCCTTGTCGCAGGTGCCAGGGGCACCCCCGGGGCAGTGGTCTTGGCACTTGAACCTGGAAGGCGACTCACGCCGTGCAACCAACATATGGGTATGGGGTCAAAACTAAACCACCAGAAAACCGCAGGGTTTAGTCCATCTTTCCATTTACAGGGATTCCATTTTGGGTACCTATTCTGGACCTAACCAGATACTGTTTACTACCGGGCCTCCTTTGTTGCTTGGCATCTGATCTGAGTTCACTGGCCAAAATGGCTGCACGCTTTTGGGCCTTGACCAACATTTGAAGGCACCCTACCAACAACAAGCTGAAGGCGCGAACCAAACAAGTCATACGTCGGGCCGAAGCCACCACTGGGGCAGCTTGTGGCTTCGAAACAGCCCAGCAAGCTGGACGGGCCGTGTTCGCCCATGTCAAATCAGAACGCCACCCAAAACCCACTGAATCATGTTGACCCCAAATTGCTTAATTCTGGGGAACCGGGCTGCATCCAGGGCCCTTACTACCTCCCGTTGCCTCTGGCCATTTTTGCAAGTCAAGGTACATTTGCAGTGGCAGAAGCGGGTGGCTGAAGTAGCCAGTCATCACCTCATGGAACCAAGTGCGTGTGAACATCTACCGGATTGCGTGAGGATTTTGATGCCCACCATTTTGGATGGTATTCGGACCATTGACATCCCAGCCGTATAGCTTTCCTTTGAGTACCGTTTACCCCAAAAAAGGAACCACCAAGGCCCTCAACATCAGAGAGCCACACCCAAACATGGGCACATAGCTGCTATCCCGCAAGTCACAAACCTGAACCCAAGCATTTTCCAAGTAAGGCACACATCGTGTTGAGCTCTTGTATCCCCCCCCAAACCCCCCAAAAAAAAAGGCTTGCCACACCGGCCTGCCAGTGAAAAAACACAAATCGTGCCGGGGCACGTAGGGGCTCCTGGTCTCGCTGGTGTCGTTGGCCGCCCGCAGCTTCTCTACGGTGCTTCCCACGGGGCACCAGAGGCCCTCCGGGCACGGGATGCAGCTGCCGTTCACCGCGATGAGCTGCGCCTAGCACGCCACGAGCGAAAAACGCGGGGGCTGGGTGGGTTGGTGTTGGGTTTTGGGGGAGGTGCCCCCGGTTTGCTTGGGTTTTCTTAGGGAAGGTGTTTTTTTTGGGGGGAGGGGGTTCTGGTTTGTTTGGGTTGAAAGGGATTTCCTAAGACCCCTGGCCATTTTGGGGTCGCCCTGGAGTATGAGAATGCAAAGAGAACCAAATAGGGTGGCAGAACTACGGGAAATCCAGGGAGCCACGAACAAAGGGTGAGGCGCGGTTCCGGTTCTTCAGGCAGAAGGGAAGTCCGAACAAACCCGGCGCCTTTCCAGCAGGGTTGGGCCCAGTGTTTGATACACAGCCCTAGTTCATGGTTCCAGTTCCAAACCACTCCCAGAGGCTTGATGGGATATACAACCACTATGTGGTTACTATATGAGCGGTAGCAAAACTAGGCGATTCGACAGCGCCAGGCCCTGTCAGTCCTTTTCCCTTAGAGAAAGTCGGCTTGTCTTTTGCATAGGTCTTGATCTTCCCCTGCTTTACGGATGGGGGGGGATGGGGTAAGGTACCCATTGAAGGAAATAGAACCAATGGAACTCCGAGAGTGCTGGAACCCTCTTGAGGGCAGGGACCCGGCGCCAAAGGGACACGCAGAAATCAAGCCAAGAACTTATGCCAAACTGGTTGATCCCCCTCCCCCGCTTGTGTTCCCTTAGCCTTGCTACTTGGCGACTCCATCCCCGAGTTCCCTAACTCAACTTGAGCCATTTCCAAGAAGCCAAGCCGCTTCACAGACACAATCCTCAAGGCCGGTGGCTCCCAGAAGTCGCGTAGTTCTGCCCTGCTGGCATTTCAGGCAGCTTGTTTGGGCCACCTCACCTTGGTAGAAGCCCTCCGCACAATGCTGGCACCCCGTGCTGCCCTGGGCATCGCTGCTGGTACCCTTCGGACACGGCTCGCAGGTCGTTGAGTAGGTGTTGGCCTGGAAGAAGCCTCACAAGGAGTTCAAAGTGAGCGTCTGACTCCGAGCATGACCATGATTCGTTTCAAGGCCTCTGTCAGGCTCCTCTTTTATGTGTGTTTTCCGGCCGAAAGGGCCAGTCCGCTGCCTTTTCGAGTAAACTACTGCGCGCTCATCGCCGAGGTGCAGCGGTTGCTGATGCAGTTGCTGCTTGCTGAGGCTCGAACACTGGACACCTAAGGCAGCCTAGATGACCTGGAGAACCAGAGGGGTAGTGAACACGGGCGCGGTAACAATTCAGCTTGGATCTTTTTGTCCGCCTTAGCCCAGTTTCCAAGGCTTTCTGTGGCTCCCTGAAGGCTGTCCCTTGCCATGGCAACTCTGGTGAACATGAAGCCCAGCCCAGTGACCCTCTGGCACCCTCCGAAAACAAGGGAAAGCGGGAACCACGGAACAGCTGGAGAAACATCCAGGCCAACCCCAGCTGAAGCAAACGGGCCCCTCGCAAAAAGCAGATGCCCCGCCTGGTGGGCACTGCAGGCACCGGTGCCTTGCGATGCGGAGGCGGGCCAGCAAAAATAAACATATAATGAATTAAACAAAACATATATGTATATATATATATATGTATAGATACATATATGTATACATTGATCTAGCTGTCTATCTTATTATAAGTCTACATGTATACATACATGATATAGAAGTGTGTGTGTGTGTGGATATCAGCGGCCAAGTGTGTGCTTTTCAAAATCAGGGTAGTTGGTTTCCTTTGGTCTCCCTTCAAAACCAACCAATCAAAAAGGAACCCCTATTCTACACCCCGCAGCTCAATGATCAGGTAATCACTTCTGACATCCCAGGATCCCCTCAATTGGCCTCCCAAACAAACCTTCCGGAGGTTGCAACCCACTGGACATGCTGCAACTCTCGTCCCGTGGGGCTCTGAGAAAGGAAACAAACCAAGCAAATCTACCCTCAAGGGGGCGACGCACTTCCCGAGTTGCTGGCCCAAACAAAGTTTAAAGTCCATGACTTTCAGGAAGTAAGGCGAGGTAAAGGTCCCACAGCCACTTCTCTAGCCCAGCCACACAACGTCAGTCGGGTGCTTTATGAATACACCCGCCCTCAGCTTACAAGCCAATGATGACCACTTGCTCTAATGGGGGTGTTAGGAAAAGGGTAGCTAGATGTACCTGGAGTTCAACCGTTCGCCGGGTGATGTGGTCCTTGTGACTTTGTGTGGGCCCCATGTTGCCCTTCACAGAAGCAGCATGGTTTACCAACCCAGTGTTCCAGCACTTGCCGCTTGTTTGCCGGGATCAGTTTTCGAGTTTTCGTGTGGATTCTCGTGTGGGTGAAGGGAACGGGGAGGAAGTGCGGACTCGTTGATTCCCATCCAAGATATGCATAAGGATACCCATCCAACAATCACAAGCACAAGGGAGGAAGGCAGGAAACAGCAATGAGGAGAAGTAACTGAGGAAGTCAGCAAGGAATGAAGGAATCAAGGGATGAATAAGGAAGGAATGAAGGAAGCACACCCTCCAAAACCCTCTAAATGTTGCAAAGGGCAGGCTTCTCCCCAAATCACTTGCGAAAAGCCTTCCACCTACACGCCAAACCAACTTCTGCCCAGGCACGTCTTCCCCAAGTTGTCGAAGACCTCCTCCGAGGTGCGGCCCGCTGGGCAGAGCCCACACTTCGCCGCCCCCGTGCGGTTCCCCAGAAACGCGCCGTGGCCGTCCACCACGCCGAAGCCGGCGCCGCAATTGGTGTCAATGGGCACCCAGCTCCTAAGGAGTGGCCCATGCTCTCCAAAAAAAAACTAATTTGGACCATATGTCCCAAACCTGAAATAAGAGTTGGGTCCCCAAGCAACTGATCCTTACCATGGTGAGCTCGGTTTACTCCCAGGTGAGCCATAAATTATGCAGAATACATTCAGAGCCTGGTCCATAGTCTGCCCTAAAAGATTTGAAATACTGTTGGATGCCCCACAATACTACTCCCTTTTAAAGTAGTGATGGACATGAAAAGGAGGTTTTGGAAGACAAACATCATCTCAAAAGGTCGCCCTGTCCATCCATGATTGTTGGAAAAAGGGGAAGGGTGGTTCCCCGTTTTAGTGGGTTCCTCCCACTAGCATGGTCCCGGAGCCGCACAAAAGTGAGTTGACGGAATCAAGCTGGAAAAGCCGCGCGCAAAAGGCAGGGGCTTCGGCCTGGAAGAATCCCAAAATGTATCTTGTGAGGTTCCGTGCGAAGCAGAATGCCCCAAAAGAAACGCGCACACTCATTGGGACACAAAGCGCCGGCAGTCGGCTTAAACAAATCAATATAGAACAAAGCATCAAACCTGCTGAATCAACGGTATCTTCGATATTTTATAGATTCCAAATTGTGTGCATGGCACGTCTGATTGACTCCAATCGCAGCAGAAAGCATGTGCCAAAAAGGCCAACTTCTATTTAATACCTGGGGGAGGGGGGCAACTGCTCAAGCAGGGACTCTCGTGGTCGTTGTTTCTTAGTGCAAATTGGGAGCAGAACGCAAACTGGATGTTCGGGTGCAAAGTGTTCTGCTTGCCTTTAGCCAAAGGCGAGACCGATGCCGTTTCCGAGCTCCTCCAAATGGCCGGGTTCTCCTTCACCCAATTGCACGCCGCTTCCTGTGAAGGCGCGAGGAAACTTACGCAAGGCTCCATCCTCCGTTTGCTTGGTATGGTCTTCGCCCTCCTGACCAAGCATATTCGCCCACAAATAACGCACACGTGCGATGTGTAGCGCTTTGGACAGGCAGTTCTTTCATCCCCTCAGTGTTTCTTGGACAAATCAAAAAACACAATGCCAATAGAAAACAACCAGTCCACCACGTAAAGGGAACTTCTCACTACCGGACATATGTTCTATGATTGATTTTTTTCTAGGGGGTTAAGCAAATGGAAGATTGGAACAAACCATGTGCATTGTCAAAGGCTTAACTCTTCCTTTTACATGTGGCAAACTGTCAAGTTGTCTCCAATTCCCCCTTTCAGCCAACAAGTTGACTTGTTGCAAAGGACCCACTAAAAAGGGGAACCACCCCTTCCCTTTTTCCAACACTCATGGAAGTGGACAGGGGGCCCTTCTGAGATGATGTGGGGATTCCTCCAACAGCATTTCAGATTTTAGGGCAGATGGAGGATCTTTGGTGTACCCTGGAGTTGGTCCCTGCATGTTCCCGGGGCCCCCAAAAAAGTGGGGTTCTAAAAAGGGGTTGGAATTTGATAAATCCTCATTTGGAGGGTAGGTAGAATGTCGCTCCGCCAGAAGGACCCTGTTGGCAAATCGGGCAAGGAACAACAAAAAATAGTACTACTTCAGCATCGGGCAAAGAAGGAACATAATAACAATAAATTCTTACTTCAGCATCGGGCAAGCAAGGAACATAATAACACTATATTCATACTTCAGCAAACGGAAGTTCAATTTCTGTGTGTGTGTGTGCTTTTTGCCGAACTCCCCAAATAGGTGTGGGTCAAACTTAAACCACCACGATATGGACCGCAAACGCAGTCCATGTTTGCATTCACCAGGTAACCCATTTCAGGTTGTTAGCCCCATATTAATCAACCCAAGTTCATTGATAGGGGGGACTGCTCCCCTCCAAAAGTGGCCGGATTCCCCACATTTCACCCAGCAACGGTTGATTGATATGGGGTCGACCTTCTTGTGGGCCCACAGCCAGAGGGATTCTGGTCCATGTTTCCATGTCCCAGACCTCTTCCCATTTTCGGGTTGCCCTCAGCCCATGGCGTGGCAATCCTTGGCGCCCAAGGTCTCGTAGTCCGCCAGCATCCGCTGCACCTCCGGCAGCTCGAAGTTGATGTTCTTCACGAAGCCGTGCACCAGCCGCGACTTGGCCTGGCACCGAGGTTCCCAAGGCAAAACGAGACTTAAACCCAGGGGTGGTGCGTTCCCCCCAAAAGGAGATCATCTGGGTTTAAGCCTACCCTGGGTAGTCAAAAAGTGGAACCCTGTCTGGAAGCTAGGACTTTGCAAGACTTGCTGACCCATTTACAAAGGCCTTCTGGGAGCTTCCATGTTTGAGGGAGTGTGGTGACCCTAGAAAAAGGGGCTGTCACTTATTCTGAGGCGCTTTGGCTAAAACGGTCTGTAGGTTTTGGTGGTCTGCTTGAAACGACTCAAAGTCCATGCGCTATGTTGGAGATGTTGACGGTTACTACACTTTGACAATCTTCCCAGTTACGGCAGAACTTGTTCCACTGAAAGGCGCAAGCACACATGTTGCGCTGACAAGGCGTGGTGCAAATGCGCAAGAACGCCCGCAAGGCTGCTTTTGCAGAGGTGCAAGGGAGCTTCAAACCCAACTGGAATAGCTTCTGTTTCCAAGAGTCATGTTTGAGATGGCTGTAGCCTTTCAATCCACTCATCTCGGATGCCCTGGCTGGAAACAGGGTCAATGTGTTTCACTCTTTGGACCCTCTTGAAGTCATCCTCGTTTGGCTCCCCCCCCAAAAAAAAGCGTGGAGTTGAAGAAGCTTGCAAGGTGGCCATGGGAGAACAAATGCGGGCGAAACAAAAATACACGTCATTCGCAAACCACCACTTGGGGATCAGGTTTTGAACAAGCTAGTATCTGGTGGAGAGCTGTGAAGCAGGCAGGGCTGCAGGAACAGTTTTCTGGTTCTTTGATACCATTTGCAGACCTTTCCACTGGCTTGTCCTTCGCAAAAAGAACGAGAGGTTACATGTTTTGGCATCTCATCAAGGCATTTCTTTGAGCTGATTCCGACTAGCTCGCCTAATGTCTGACTCGAGGGCATAGCGGGCAAGGCCGTGGTCATGCATCACGCGTGAAATGAATGCCAGCGTTTGCTCACCTGCTAGGAAATTCTCTTCCTTGAGCAGGAAGCAACTAACAGGTTGAACAAAGTGGAAGTCGGTTAGTATTGCCGCACACTGAAGCGGACAACTGTCAACTACTCAATATATGTCAACATTGCCGAGAGGACTTGGACATGACAGTCAAAGGCTAAGCTCTTGCACTGCCAACGTCAAAACACCTTAATCCGTCAGATTTGATCGATTCGCTTCGGCGCATCTGAAACAGAGGGGGAAACGACACAAAAACAAGTGTTGAAGTCGGCAAAGCACCGCAACAAACAAACACACACTTAAAACCTGATTGAAGACCCACGAAAGCTCAGGGGTATTCCATGGCTAGGCCATGGCCAAAACCCCCTTCAACTTGACTTGACCAACTAGATAACAACACCTGAGCAGGGAATACAACAAGTCAGTCGGCCTGCAGGTTGTTGCTCACAATCTTGGACACGTAGCTGCCCTTGGCCCCCGTCCTCTTGTCCCCCTGCTCCCAAGCCCTCGCGGAGTGCCGGGGAAAAACCACCTCACTGGGATTCATGTCGATGAAGGTGGAGTCAGGGAGCCACCAGTAGAACAAGCTCCGCACCTTCAGGGGTGACGAGCTAAGGGCCCTATTAATAGAGGCTTCAAGAGGAGACTTGAACCCAGACATAGTTTAGTCAAGAACTGGTTGGCGAGTCACAAGAGCGTGGTACTCAAGGGAGTTACCCCAAAAATGACAAAATCACCGCTAAAGGGCGGACGGCCGCACAAAATTCTGTCTTTGGAACTGTCTCTTTGCTTCCCCAACCTGGATTTTGACTGTGGCGCGAGTGTTTTTGGGGACAAAGGGCATGGAAACCGACCGGATTTGTGGCAAACCTTCCGCGGACAAGTCCTGCCAGAGGAAAATCAAAGGAGGGACTCGTGCCTCTGAGGATATGCAAAGAACACCCGAAATAAACAGTGTTCCTGTAAAATGTCCTGTACCCTAAGCCTTTGACATATCATATTACACCAACAAAAGGAAGGAGATTCGCCCAATGAAACCGCCTGAAGGAGGGAAGGCGTATTAATATCCGACAGTAATGCCACCAAAAACCCGTAGGGGCCTACGCAAAACCAATACAGTGCCCACAGGCAAAGGCGAAGGTTGGCCCACGCAATTCGAGGTATCTAATATTATTGCCCGTGGCTCATCTGCTTCACAGGTGCTCGGCCATCACAGCTCACCCAAATCAATCAAGCGAAAGGGTGTCACATATGTGCACCGAGCCGTGGATATTCATGGAGCTATGTATAGTGTTGCTTGAGTCTACATGTTCTGTCGCTGGTAAACTGGCTTGGCGCACCTGGGTCACGTGCTTCACGTAGTTCCCCCAGCTGTTGGAAACCCCCACGGCCGCAGGGATGCCATAGGCAGCGGCCCAAGACATCAAGGCTTGCAGGCGCCAGCCCGCACCACCAGTGACTAGTGGGATGCATGCGGACCAGTCGTGACGGCAAGCCTCGAGTTGCTGGGTTGGTGGCTTGGAAGTTGGTTGGATTTGCCCCCCCCCCCCCCCCAGAATGGCTTCGGTTTTTCCATTGGGTTCTGGCTGCCCTCACAAAAAGACAGACCGGGCCTACCTTTTGGGGCTTGCGTCAAACATGATCTGATCCAAATCCCTGGAATCTCCCACCTGGAAACTTGAACCACACGTGGTCCAAAATTTGACAGATGCTGTTTGGAAGTAGCCTGCGAAATGCAAAACCCAATGGTGAGCACAAGGGCACCAATGGGAAACCACCTATTTTGGGGCTCCCTCATTTAGAGACAAAGCCATGTGCCAAGCAAATCTGTCAAACCCACAGCCAGGAGGCCGGGGCTCGCCACCAGTGCCCATCCTCGCATTTGGCCACATAGGTCTCATCCACCTGCACCGCCCCGGCATAATCTCCCGAGTACTGGAGATACAGCGAAATCCGTTCCGGGTTGGTGAATTCCGTGGTGTTGCACCAGGCAACCTCCGAGATGTTGATGTCAGAAACGGAGTCGAAGTACTTCTTGGGGTTGTGATGACTGGTGTTGTAGGCCTTGTAGAAGTCCAAAGCCAGGCCGAATTCTTCGAATGCCGCCTGACGCACTGGATCAGAAACGTACAAGGACTCCTCACCATCATAGCCCATGCTCCCCAAATCCACGGGGGCGATGCTCGGGTTCTCCCGCTCCATTTGCTCGAACAGTGGGTATCCTGATCCCGTCCAGGAGTCCAGGCCAACATGGACTTCTGTTTCATTCCTTGCCACAGGCAAAAAAACCCGACGCCATGTCACTGATAGATTCCCTTGAAAAAACCAGAGGGACAAGTAGAGACCTGTTAAGCAAATGGAAGACTTAAAACACAAAAAGAAGCAAGTGCAAGAGCCCTATGGCTTAGATTCTCATCGCATCTCTTGTCTGTGGTGCTGTCGAAATCTGTGCACCCGGCCAAAGCGTACAGGCTGGATTGCCCACTCTGCCCAACTTGTGGATGGACACGGGCATGAATGCCCAAGCCTGCAGGGAACTTAACGACTCCCCTTCTCAGAGAGGGCTGTCAAAAAGTTATGCTTGTTGTGTAAGCACCTTTCCTGGCAGCCCTGCTGCTACCCGCCTTCTTCGATCAATATGACCGCCATTTCCGCCAAAACATCCGACGAGGGCCAGCCGCACTTGAGCACGCCGATGGGAAGATCCTGGATGGAAATAAAATAACCCTTTTCATGGTGCTTGAAGGGGCAGCAGGGAACCCAGTCCTTGCCAGAGTTGTCTTGGATAAAAACGCGGGATGCCTCAAGAACTCCATCCGCCAAACACGGAGAGCCCTCGCTCTGCACTGGCCAGAGAAGCCCGCATACAAGGAAGCCTAAGTACGGCATAGCTGGACAAATGTCGAAGGCGGCTCTAAATGAGCCAAATACGGACTGCTGGGCCAAATGTCTGCGACACCGGCCGGGACTGCACATTTCTGGCAGCTTGCGAGGACTTGCAGCGAGAGCCGAACACGCATGATGCTGGAACAAGAAGCTCATGTTCATTCCAAACATGAAGTCTGCTAAGCTATTCTGAAATCACATACTCCACAAAACAAAAACACCTTGAGATGTTGGGGGCAACTGAGTCGTCCAACCAGCGGTGTTCCTACCAACCCCCAAAATCACAAACTTTAACTGCACTTCCACGTTTTGAAAGGAAATCACCGGGACCCCCCCCCAAAAAAAAAACACTAACGCATGCCAACATGAAACCACTTGAATGGCAGTCTTGAGCTCGTAGGCTCCCTTCAGACCCGGATCCGGAGGCCAAAGCTTTAGGAGGGACCCTGGATGGCTTGCTATGGGCTTCGGTCAAAAAAGAAATGGGCGGGGCGTCGAGAGGGGCGTCACCACAGAACTGACGCCATCTGATTCGCCCCCTTTTAGCGCGATGCCCGCAAGATCGTGGAAGGGACCGAGAGAGGGCCGATCAATCAGACCGCCATTTCCGCCAAGACATCCGAGGAGGGCCAACCACCCCTGGAGGATGCCAATGGGCAAATCCCGGCCGGAGTTGTCTTGGATGAAAACGCGGGATGCCTCGCGTTCACTCCATCCGTATCGCCAAGCACGGACCGCCCTCGGTGGGCCAGAGAAGCGCGCACACAAGCATGTGCATGCAGCCCATGGGAGCGGACCTGGCTGAGATTGCACATCTCTGGCTGACTTGACGGCTACCAATGGCAGAAGCACCGAGAATGCGCATGAAGCTGAAAGTCCGAAGGAAGCTCATGCTCCAGGTCGGTTCCAAACATGGACACCCGCCGACCGCAAAGTGTTGAGCCATGCAGACCCGCCGTTCACAGCCCATCTGGCAAGGAGCGGAGCTGTAGACCTTCTGTCACAAGCTTCCTCGAGCTAGACCGACCCAACCGCAAACAAATCGCAGCCAGACCCTCACTCCCCCCCACCCCCGGCGTAGGTCGGCTGCAAAGCTTGAACAGTTCCATGCCTACCTTCAGTGCACACAAGCATCCTGCACCTCACTGCATGCTACGTGACATCTTCAATCAAGCCTGGAGAACGCGTTGTCCGAGTTCAACATGGAGTTTTGGCCGAACCGATTTTGCATAACTGCTGTTGAACAAAAACATGGTCCAAAGCCAACGAGGGCCAAATCCGTTCGTAACCTTGGCTTCATGGACACCTCGCATTTTACTCCTTCGCGGCGAGCTCAATCGTGTAAGGTCACACAGCACACAAGCAGGGATGAATCAGACGAGATGCACTGCGCTCACAAACCAAAACAACCCAAGGAAACAAACAAATCCCCAACAGCTATGGAAGCCTCCCTTTTGCTCATGTGCGATCCGTCAAAAAACCAGCCAATTGTGAGGGAACCTGGCTAGGTCCTCCAGTAGACCTTTTTTTCTGTGGTCTATTTTAGGGTAACCCTCCCCCAAAAAAAGAAACGGTAAAAGGGCACTCGGGGACCAAGCTGGGCTATTGCGTGCGAGCGGCTGGCAGGGCAGGCAAGCTGCCTCCCGGCTGGCGCCAGGAAGGTCATTATACCGGCCCTGGATGCAGAGCCCTCGGAGGACAGGACTGGGCCAATGGGGGGTCAAAAGAAGGGGATCAACAAATGTCAATTTTTAGCAGTTGAGGGGAATTTCCCACTAAACCATGAGCAAAAACGCAAAATGTGTCCCAACAACAACAACAACAATGAAGAGGCCCAGAAATATCCGACAAATTGAGGGGGTGCCATTTGGGGAGCCTGAACCATATGAACCATATGGGCTATTCAGCACGGGATGTTTAGGGCGAGGCCGGGAAATTGTTGTTTTCATCTTGCCAGTTGTCCAGTGACCCTGGTAGAACAAGGCCAGCCTTCTCGGAGTTGACTACCCAGAAAACATTGGAGACAACGAGCAACTGGGCTTGGGAGCCTGCAAGAAAATGCCGCAGCTTCCGCACTTCGGAGCAGCTAGTTGCTTGCCTTGGCAATGCTAATATTTTGTGCACAACATACCGGTGAATGTTGTGGACCGTGCTAGGAATTCACCGCACGTGCCAGTCCGCACAAACGAGCAGATCCCTTGACTAGTCTTAAAGTTAAATGGGTGTGGCTCAAAATTAAACAGGACTGGTTACGCAGATTTTGGTCCATGTTTCCACTTGCCAGGATTCCATTTTGGTACCGGATTTTTGAGCCACAGCCAAATGGCAACTCCTGCCTCATGATGAAATGTTCTCTGTATACTTCACGATAGTTCCATGGCATGGAGGGCGCAAGCGCAACTGCTCAAAGCAGATCGATTTACAACTTGGCGAGACAAACTCTAAGAACCACACACACACACACACACACACACACACGTCATTCCAAACAAAGCAGGTGCCCCCTTTGACAACTGGAGCAGGTTGCCCAAGAAATCGCTTCTGGCCACAATCCACTAGCCCCCCCCTCTCGTTTCCGATTTCCCCCCCTCGACGCGTCTGGCACGGCTCGAGGCCATTCCGAGGCGCTGCAAAAGGTGGAGCTAAAGGCTCCCTCCGTGTCGCTCCACCGCCCCAGCCCGCAACTTTGGCAGGAGGCGGCCTGGAGCGGCAAAAGCCGGAAAGAAGAATCGGGGCGATAATTTTCGCGTGGGGGGTTGGGGACAGTCACAATCATAGGAGTCAACTATTCGTATTGTGCTGGCCCCTTACATTAAGTTGCTACGTCGCCGACCTGCAGTAAGGAACCCATGAGTAAGGCACATGGGAAAGCTTGTGTTTTGTCCTATGAGCTCTCCATACCGTGCAAATCAACTGACGGAACTGTTGCTTGCAGAACTTGCCAGCACCTGCAAATCTCGCACCCGAGCTCATACGCAGGAGAGAGTGACGTAACATGCTTGAAGGACAGGTGGAAAGGGGCTGATATCAACATGCTGGACTAAGACCGGCCTGTATGGTCCCATTTCAGCTTTTCTTTTTGGGGGGAGGATCCCCAAAAATTGTGCCAACCATCCTCAAAAGGGACACGCATTTGTACTCCCTATGCTGCGTCATTTCGCCGACGTCAGTTTCGTCAGTCCATGTTGTCATGGCCCCGTTTTATCATCGTGCCAGAGCTGAAGACGAGACAAGGAATTCGTGTGGCCGACCTTTTGAGCTTTGGTCCTTGGTGCTTTGCTTGTCATGGTCCTAAACGATTAACCTTTGACTTCGACAACGGTTTGTCGACCGGCCTTTCCTGAGGTTCGGAAGAAGGAACATAATCAGAACCTGCAGCAAAGACTAATCGTTTCCAACCGATCTATCATATCTATCGATCTCCGCAGGATCCCTCTTGGATTCTGGACGTCAACTTTTGTGTATCATGACAGCTGACATGTATTGAACGCCTGTTCCCATTTTATACATTACATTGGTCCCTTCAGCTTCCAGAATAAAAGCAAGGGTATGGAGTTCTGACAGAACCGGGGGAAAACAAAAACGAAAAAAACGGCGCAACCTTCATCCGGATTGCAATGAACAAACACCGGGAAGTGGGAAAGATCTGTGGAACAACGTGCTGGTTTTGGGTCTTGTTCGACTTCTTTTCGTCATCAAATCTGGCTGTTCTGCTGCACAACAAGGCCGGCAACGCCGCTTGCCTCGTTTTGGGGGGAACCGGAGCGGTGTTGGCCAGAACAGCCTGCCGACGACCAAATTGAATGCGAGAGTTGTTGGATACTGCCTCTGGATGTTGCAACTTAAAACCATCCAAAAAGGGAAATAATACCGAAATGGTCTGCAACCCCCCCCCCCTTCCCCCCCGCCATTTCCCCGCGCCCCCATTTCCCAGCATCATCCTCGCGCCCGGCTGGGCCCCGGACAGTGGCGCCCTGTACATCGCTCCACGTCCCCGCGGGGCACTTCTGGCAGGACTCGGCAGATGCCCCGCCTACGGCGCGAGCGAAAAGAAATTGGCGGCTCTCAGAGGATGGTCCTGGCCCTTGCAGTCTGCTTCAAAAAATGGTTGGAGGAGACCCCATGTTCAACAAACTTAATTCCTAGGCTAGGCAACAACCATGTGGTAAGGCGATTGCGAGGCCTCGTGTACCAGTTCCTAGGCTCTAACCATGGTACGGAGACTACTGCGAGGCCTCAATGTTTCAATGACTAACTGACTAACCCCAGTCACCCGGTCACTCCTCTTGTAAACATACGAACATGACCCCCGCACTGGGCAGCTGGGAAGGGAGAGATGGTTCACTCCAGGAGGGGGTCCCTTTCTTGAGAGCCAAGTAAATAGCGGGCCTGGATAAATTTCTACGATGCCCA